AGAATTTCAGAACATTCTACAAATATTTAAGCTTTGGCCTGCAAAACATGGACAAACTGTGGTTACGTCTACAGGTACAGATGTAACAAAACCATAAAATATTGAATTTTGACAGAAAAAAAAAAATGTGTGTTTCAAAATTTTTCTCCCCTAGTGGCCGGATGTATCCAAATGGATACATCCCCATTTTTTATTGTTCAGACTTTTTGAGTAATCCGTCTTAGTAATGCAATAGACAGTAGGTCTATGAAGGAAAATTAGCAACTAATTGCCTCGAAGCTAGATTATTTAGAGACACGAAAAAAGGATTATTTCTATACGAATGCTACTTTGGGGCATGGTGGATGGAACTGGACATTTTCTTAGTGAATGTTGTTTCCTTCTTCTAAACGCATGAAGATGTGTCGAAATGCGTTAACTTAATTATCAAATTGTAAAAAAGATTTGATATCATCACTGTAAATCAGTTCTTCGTAAAATATTAGCCTAATGTATCCATATGGATACATCCGACCGGAAAGGGTTCAACGTCCATAAAGATTTTCTCAAATCCCTAATTACTAGAACATAAAAGAGATGATTGTTAGTGTATCTTTCATTGTAAATTTTACATACTCATCTTCATCGGATTCTTCTTCATCTTCTTCTTCATCACTATGTACACCAATTTCATCATTAGGATCTTGTAATTCTCTATTAAATCTTTGTTGTTCTTGTTCTGTTATTTGTGAATTAATTGATTGCATATATTGTCGAGATACTTCCTAATTATTTTCAAATAAACAAAAAAAAAAAAAATACAATAAATTAAATCTATTTTAATTTACTTGAACTTTTTCACGTTGACTTCGAAAATGTCCTTCAAGTTCTTTTTCTAAATAAGTTAATATACGAAATTTTAATACATAATTTCCATATAATTCATTAAGTTCTATTTCACATTTTTCAAAATCATTCATAAATGATGGTCTAAATTTAAACACAACAAAATTTATTATATATTAACAATAAATTTTTGTTTTTTAAATACCTGACACTCCTTAACATTTCAA